TACGAATTCAACTACTAAGAAAGACTCTGCTTAAATTCAACATATGTAAATAAACTCCCCATTGCTTGGACATACCTTGCTTTGTGATAAACAAAAGTGCATGAAAGGATCTGCTGCTATTTGTTCTGTGATGTAGGTGAGTCCCGGGGTAAGAGCAGGCAAGATGGAAAGAACACGTCTGCCATAATAAGACTTCGGTTGCGTATTTTTAACATTAAGAGTTCTTTAGTTATAAATTAACTGATTTTCCTTCATGGGATTTAGAAAGTGAACCAGAGGAAAGAAGTTAGAAATTATTGATGTCTCACTTCTGTAGGCTTACACCGGATCTTGCTTTTCCCTGTTTTGTTCTTTTGTAGCACTTTTCTTTGAGGCTAAATATGATAAATGCAAGAAAAATGAATGCCCTTTGTCATACTTCTGTACAGCATAGGTTGGGCACCGAGCTGGGAGGTGCTGGGCTGTGGAGGCGTGTGTAGATGTTCTCTGTGAAACAGCGTGTGCTGCCGCGTGAGGCGCGGCCCCTCCGCAGCCAGCGTGAGTCGTGGGCGCTCCCCCTGCGCCAGGCCGGGCTCCTCTCAAACAGCAAACGCTGCCTTTGGAAAAAAGCCCAGGAAAACTGTTGGCTTTGGGCGTAATTGCTTCCTACTGCAACTGAAGCTGCGTCGCAGTCCTTGGCAAATCTTGGGAATGAAGGCCTGTGGGGAATGCTGCCACGGTGGTGGTGTTCGTGTCCAGCCTGTGGAATCTGGCCTTCCTGCATTTGAGGGGACATTCATGGAAAAACTATTATAAGTTACATTGCCGATGGTGTTTGGCAAGACGGAAAACAACATTGGGTGGGTCATTTGTGTTCTTCTGTAGAGAATTATGGCAATTGTCCTGAGCCTATCTCATTTCTACCCTTTGTGAAAAATATGGGGACTTTTTCTTTGGAGGGACTTCTGATTTTTTGATAATTCATCACTGTCAGTTTTACTTGTTTCCAGCTCTTTTAATTAATGCAGTCACTGTGTCATTATTGACGTTTCCCTCCATTATTTGATTTCCTGAATTCCCCCAATGGCTTATATGAATTAATTATATTGGCATTAATGTAAATTAATCACCATTTATCCTGTGTAATACTGATCATGCAACTGATCAAAGTGCAGAACGTTTCTCGGTATTATACTGGCAAGGTAAAGCAGATTTAAGTTACTGTTTTGAAGCCATGATTAAGTGGTGATGGATCATTGCTCTGCACACAAAATGAGGATTCTTCTGGTTCCTTTTTCTTTGTGTCTTTTAAAAGTTATTATTAACATAATAAATACTGCCAGTGTTCTAGAGAGCTCCGAAATGAAAACTCCTACCTGGAAGTCCCCTTGAAACACATTATTTTGCTCTTGAAAATATTTAATTGTATTCTAATAGATGAGTGCATTCCAAGGTTGAAGAGTTATTGAAGTGCTGGCTTCTTGCATCTTCTTTGCATTTGATATATTCAGAACTGGCTAGGCAACACTGGACAGGCTCTGCTGCGGGTCTCCAAATGGTCGTGTCACAGCAGCATTGCTGCTGGGCTAGTATAGCTGTTGTCAGCAGAGTACCTGTTGCTGAAGATGCTCTGAGAATAATGATGTAGAAGTAGTTGGGTTCTTGACGTAGGATGAAATTTTTTAAAGGAGCCTGTCATTTATTCCCAGCTTTATTCTTGCACAGTGTGTTTCATTCTATTTTCCTGCACCTTGTTATTGTTAAGTGGTCTTGCAGTTGTGACACAGGTACTCACAGGCTCAGTCCCCCACCCCAGAAGACAGCCTGTTCTCTCGCCTGTTGGTGTCTTTGTGCACAAATTCTCAGGCCTTTTTTCTAGATGGATTTCTTCGCAGCTGCTTCAGGTCTGATGTGATTTGTCTCCCAACTCTCATTAAATGTGTCTGTACACATGGACTGAAACGTTTGGAAAAGCAACAATCTCAAACCCCTCTAAAGAATGTGAAAGGTGCCGCCAGGACACTGAGCGGCATCACGCTTTTGGTCAGAAAGAACTTTTGTAACTTGTCTGTGTTCAGTCCCATTGTTTCTTGCTGCTGAAGCTTGTTTTTCTTCTTTAAGAAAAACTTAGGTAGATGTTTTAGGGAGAAAATGAGGGTGCCATTCCTAATATACTAGTTGGTTTTTTTTTTTTTGGCACCACAAACAAACCCTGTGTAGAAAGCTTTCCATATGAAGGGGAGGAGGAGAAGACCTGCGTCCTGTCGTGTGGGTGTTGGAGTAGGCATTTCTGCAAAAGCAGTTTCACTGCGTGTAATCCAGTTCCCTTGCTGCTAGAATTGTCATGTTGTACTATATTACTTTTCCTAAAAGAAGTGCAAATTATGCCTCAGATTTGATTGGACGTTTCTCTGTGTGTTTAAAAAACTGCCCTTTCTTGAGGTAGAGTTGAGGTATTTAGTTGTTACTTCTGATTTGGGCTGTGCAGAGAAAGCGCACAGATGCCAGTGCCTTGTGACTGAAGCTGTAATTTCAAATGCTGAAAAAATAAAATTCCCTCAGTGAGCAGACTTATTGAGGTTGATGTTTCTTTCACAGAGGTAAAATATACCTTTTATTCTTTATTATTGACCTTCTGCTGCACACTGTTCAGCTGGTTATGTGATAAAGACAGTTTGCCCTCTCAGCAGGCAGGAACCTGGCTCTGCTTATGGTTGTTTAAAGAGATGATGGGCTTTTGGATAATAGTTCAACTTGTTACAGAGCGTTCTCAAATGCCATCGATTTTTAACATGTTAAGAGAGTCTTCTGAAGGAAAACCGTTGTATGTTTCTTTCTGATTTTGCTGTTGAGGGAAGGTCAGTGTTGTGTAACTAGGAGTTGCATTAATGCAGTGTTCTTTATCTCTGAATGTGTTTAGTCTGAAGCAGAGAATCAATAAGTCTTTTCAGCCTTTGACTCCCTGAAGGATTTTACTGCCTCATGTGGTGCTATAGAGGACCTTAGTTTGTTTTGTGTGAGAAGTTTTTGCTGAATGGCAAGTGCTTTTAGCTTCTTGATGAAAACAGTTTTTATATATATACAAATAAATATAATTTGAAATGCTTAAGGATGAAAGTATGAAACTGTAATCTCAAAAGGCATTTTCTACATCCTGGGCTACTGTCATTTCAGTGCATACAGAGAATTGAATATGTTTCTATAAAATTTTCTCCTCTTCCCCATGAGAAAGTATCAGTAGATGGCACTTCACTGAGTCATGGTTTTCTCTCCATTGGTAGATATTAGAACTGTAGTAGACCTTTTGAAGGCCTTTAGCATTTCTCTAAGCTAGTTTTTGTATCTTGTTGCTGTCTCAAGTCTTGTCGACATTGTAGCAGATACAAAACAGTACACAGGATGGTTCTGTATTCTTTGTTTTAGCGATTACTTGAATTCCTAATTAATGGTACTTTTGCCTGCAGATCTGTATTTGAGTATAGCAGTTAATGAGCTAGCTTGTGTTTGAAGAGCCTCTCCTTTAGTGGTGTGCTTTAGCTTTAGTTTGCACAGTAATCACACTGTAAGCATGCATTGACATGTACTGAGAAAGTGAGATTTTTGTTTCATGTAAAAATCAAAATTGTTTCTTTCAAAATGCTGCTGAGTTCTAAAGTGGTGTGGGGCACAGCTCACAGGCACTCTTGTTCCTCAGAGCTCCATTGCTTATGTGATATTTTTTTTTTTTTTTTAATGTTTAGATGTTAGGTTGAGATGGAAGTGTTCAGAGCTTGCGTCATGGGTGGAGTTGCCATATTTCTCTTCTGCAGGCTGCCAGAGCTTTGTTACCTTGTTGGTGCTTGTGGGAAGAGGTTCACTGTTGTTGCATTCCTGAGCCCATCTGGACCTGAGGCTCCTCAGTTCTAATATTCTCTGATTTGCACAACTAATATCCTGAAGCTTGATAAAATATCTGTGTGAATTATTTTTCACAGATGTACACTCAATGCTTGTTTTAAGTTTATGTGCTGCCTTCAAGGAACTGCTAAAATCAGGTATCTGTTAAGTAGCACAAGGTCAGTATGAATATATGCAGTGATTATAGGTAAGATGTAGTTCTCCAAGTGTCCGGAGCAGTCACACCTAAGCAGTTCTGTCTAAATGACTGACTGAATCTTTCTTCCTTTGACTCTTTTGCCCCTCTCCCCACCTGTCTCAAACACGCTGCACATTCCTGCCTCACCTTTCATACTGGCACCAGCACATGTGACAGCAGGGTCATGCAGGTCAGCTCTGGGATTTGAGTGAAAATTCATGCCCTAACCATTTGCTGCATTGCTTTTCACCTAGGGCAGAGAGGTGAGTTAGCAGTGCTGCTAAGGTGGGCAGGAAGGTGTTTTGGCACCCCTTTAGAGGCAGGAAGAAGGAAAGGGTTTTGATGAGCTTAAGCTGATTGTGAGACTGTCTGTTTGAATTTTATTCCTCTGAAGGTGCTTATTTGAAAGGAGCACTTATCAAAGCCCATCACTGAACCTCATGTCAAGGTTTCTAGGAATTTAATAGCTATGGCAACTGAGGAAGACCCTGAAAAAAAAAAAGTCTGTTGTTTTGCTCTTTGGTTTTGAACATTGGTTTTGCAACTAACAATTGGCGCAGTTTTTCTATGGTTTCAGTTGCATAGGGAGTTTTTGGAGACATGGAAGGGATCATGGGGATGCATAATGATATGCCAGAGTTGCTGTGTTTGCTTCATTGCTTTCTTTATGGCTCAAGGCCACTCCCTCCTGCTATCTCAGAGTATTTCCGAGGTTCAGCTTTCACTCAAAAACTGCTGGGCTGATGGGTTGCTAGAAAAGTTAATTGGGGATTTGAACTGGCAGAAGTTAAGTGTGTGAAAGAGTACGTGCAGAGTGCTGGCAATTTTTATTTGGCCAGGGCTTTGGTGTGGAGAGTGACAGTATGTGTATTCATATGCCTATATCCTCGTCAAAACAAGTATAAGGTGAGGAATCGTTTATTTAGAGAGCCTGATAAATGTGGGCATGGCTTTGGGTATCTTACTATGCAAAGTGAATTCTGAAACGTTACATATGATGGTCATGAAGAAAGAGAATTGGTAATGTCTCGATTTAATAATTTAGTTTTAACATGTATGTGTTTAGTGACCTGCTGATCTCAAATGACTTTAATGATATCAAACCAAAATGAACAGCCCTACTTTATACTAGTGGTTTATGTAAATCTATCCCCACCAAATTTCCATTTTTATTGCAGCTGAAGATATAGAGGAGGTTCTAAATTAGCTCAGTATCTGATGAAACTGGACAGTGCTTTCTGGGTAGTAACTATTTTTTAAATGTTTCTAGGGATTTTCTTCCACGAGGTTCTGGAATTGTAACAAGACGGCCATTGGTCCTGCAACTCATCACTGCAAAAACAGGTAACCTCTTTCTCATTTTGGTTCAGTGCCTGGACAAAGTGCTGATGTACTTCAGCAAGAGAAAAAAAAATTATAGGAAAGCTTAATCAGTGTGAAGAAAAGTGCAACTAAAACTGTCTGTAGCAAAGACGCGCTGTTTCAAAATTATGTGCTTAGGTCCAGTGAATCCCATTGTCCTATCTGGGGAAACAATAACAGCTAAATCTTAGAGCACATAGTAAATTCGATCCAAGATCAAACTTGAAGCAGTAGATAGAAACACATTATTACATACAGGGTGGTTTAGAAATTAGCTTTGAATTTATTTCTTGATGAACTTCACAGTGGTATTATTTAATACACCAAAACTGGTGTACTTCTACCTTTAACTGTTGCTCCAGTGCACACAGATTTGAATCCACACAGCTTGTTTTCATGACCTGACTTTTTTTGGTTTGGCTCACTGCACTAAGTGGCATAAATGGTAGACTGGGGGAGAACAAGCATTCTATGTATTTGGCTGGTTAAAAATAGAAGTACAGTATGTGTATACCACCAAACTATGTGATGTAGTGAGATCTTTCAGCACTTTGTACTTTTCCAAGGGGCACTAAATCTGCTGTTGTGTAACTCGGTTCCAGAGGATATATAAAAGCAGCCAAGGTTTTCCATTGTTCAAATCTTGTTGCTTCTAAACCAATGTAAGCAACAAAATACTGGTTTACTATTAAATTCTACTTAAAATAGTAAAAAGAGATGAAATAACATCCAAAACAGCATTTAAAAGTGCTTTTTAAATTATGGAACATAATGAATACTGGGGAAGAAACAGAAGTGAGGCTGCCTGCAGAACTTTAGTCTGTCCATATGTGGACAGAAAATTATGGTTAAGTTTTTCTGTGCTTTTTTTACCTAAAAGTTCATTTACTTATTCATCAGGAAGGTAGATTTCAGTCTGCTAGACTCAATTTTTTTTTTTTTTTTCCAGGATTATTGCTTTTGAAGCATATTGATACTTTCAATGCCTGTGAAATTTTCTATGGTATATATATATATATATATATACACTGTCAAAGAGGAAGGAAAGACTATGGAATCCAGTATTTCTGTATGCTCAGCTTAGGAGCTTTAGGGTTTTTAAGTCTGTAATATGCTTATATGTATGCTTATACATGTGCTTTATATATAATGAAAGATGAAGTTCATTTTAGTTGGAGATATGAACACTTGCCATTTCTGCATGTCTGGCTTTTAACCTCTGACAGAGCACATAGGAATGCAGGATTAAGGCCTAGCCGTGGAGAATCTTCATTTAATTTTCCTGGCACCATATAAGAGCAGAATAAAGAAAAGCTCTGTGCTGGCATTCCTAACAAAACAGCTACAGTGTGGTGGCATATGGATTAGTAAGTAAACTCTTACTCTAACCTCAAGTGGTTAAATACTTATTCTTAGACATCCATTCTAAACTTACCCTGGCTAGTCTGTATTGCCCTGGTTTGTAAACTCATTGTTGTCCCTTGGTTAAGGGGACAGTGAAAGGGCTTCTCTCTAATATTTTCCGCATCACTATGTTCACATAGTATTACTAGCTTTAGGTAGGCCTCTAGGTTTTTGTATAGGTACCTTCTCTGCTGAAAAGTAGTTCTTCATTATAATTTACATAACACAACAAAAAAAATCTGAAGTACTGAGATTCAGCCTAATCCTGTGCTTCCTAAATGTCAGGACGTATTTCTCCCTTTGGGAAATGCTGTGTATTTCTTGTTTGGAATTAGATGCCAAACCCTTTAAAGTGCAAGCTTTAATTATTTTGTTACTTTCTTTAAACCTTGTTCTGCTGGTTTTTTTGGAGGTGAAATTCCAAATAACTTTATCTTTTGAGCCACCTTTATCTTTCTGATCTAATTTTTTAAAAAGAAAATAATGAAAACTGCTTAGGGAAGCACAGTGTTCTTTTACAGGAAGCAGATGCTGAACTGATTTTTATCAAGTCCATAATTATCTAAAATGTTATAGAAAGTAATTAGAGGACTGTATCAGGTTCTTGCTGCTGTAGCAATCTTAACTGGTCTCTAATCCTAGGATCTTTCTTGACTCTTTTAAAAATGATTAATCTTAGTAATTGCTCTTAATCTTACAGTATTCCTTAGGAGGGAGGGGGCACTTTTGATATAGGTATGCAGAGTTGACTGCAACTTATTTTAGAAACAGTTTGGAAATGGCTGAGGATATTTTTGCAATGCAAATTTGATGGTAGAGGTTAAATTTTTTTAGGTTTAACTTTGAGTCATTGCACTGAGGAATAAAGATTGGCAGCTGAGGCATTTGAGCACACCCAGGTAGGAGGAAACTTCGACTGCTCGTTATTAGGGTTGGACATAGGGAAGAGTGCAGCAGCATTTGTTTGTGAGGAGTGATCGGGGCCCTCTAGCATCTAAAAGATCTGACATCTGGGTAAAGAGCTCCTACCCCTGCAGTTGTGTAAGGGGTACATGAAACAATTCAGTATTAAGAAAATTGCCTCGCGAGATGCTGAATTATTTTTAGACTTTTGTTTACTTCCTCTATTTAAAAAAAACCAAAACCATGTAATTAGTACAAAGCTATTTTGTAGTGGCCTGTTAACCTCCTTTAATCACTAATGTGTTTTGGTGGGCACAGTGTAATTCTTAAATGGTTTTATGCCTTTGCAGTTTCACATCCATGCAAATACTGTACTCTGCTGAAATCTTGGAGGCAAGGACAAATGTTCTAATTAGGTTTTATGAAGATTTCAATATTGCAACTGACAAGTCAGTCTTTATTAGTTTTTACTCCAAGTTTGATAATGTGAGAAATACCCAGTAGCAGGGAAGAAGTCAAAATATGGATGTTAAAAATAATTTACAGTCCTCTGAAGGACTCTGACTTGTTCTTGACTATCCTACTTTAAGTCTCTTTTGGGACTGCCTGGCTCCATTTCAAATGAAATTGTAAGTGTGGCCTGTATCAAATAAATTACTGTACTGGCTAAAGGAGAGAGGGGTAAAAAAAAATCTCCCATCTTGTAAATATTTTGAGCCTCTGTTTTGCCAATGACCAGGCCCAACAAAAATGATAACACCAGCAGGGAGATGAACCAATATGCAGACTGTATTGTAGACAGAAATGTTACGATATGAATGACCACCAGGGGTACAAACAGGTCAACAAGCTCATACATGATCGACGCCACCCCCAACGATCCCACAAATGACATGACTCGGCCCACAACAGGCGGTACAAACAGTGAACCGAGGTTGCCCACAGTTGGCATGGGAAACAGCCAGACCAGCCAGTTAAACACGTAAGAAAAGGGTGCCCACATGGCAAATCTCACCAAATCAACCCGCGTTTGCAAAGGACTACTCCAGGGAGAGTCAGGAGGTCTTCCCTGAACCAGGAAGCTCCGTGGAGTGCACTCCACAGAGCAGATGCTCCTGACTCCCTGCAAGTGGTCCCAGCTTTTATCCCCAGGCAGGACACCTGACCTTTGTCAACTCAATGTGGGATCCCTGGGGCTCATTTCCCTTATGGCTCTCCCTGCAGGGCCGGCCACACCCTGGGGGGAAGCTATAAGGCAAACTCACCACCTCTTTATGAAGGGCTGTGGGAATAACCCATATGTCAACCTTAATTCAGGGGCTCGGGGTTCAAACCCCAGCATTTCAGGCTCCAAGGTGGTTGTCTTCTTGCAGTGAGTGGCTGATACTCATTACTTGTCCCAAAGTAGTTCACTGGTATTCCTGTAAGTAGGGTCACAGTTTTTCATTCTTCATCTCATGTTTCCAGTTCAGTGCTCCTCTTCTACTGAAGAAATATGGCATGTACAATGTCTTGCTGGAAGAGAGAATTGAACCAAGTAAGCATACAGTCTTTGCTCTGTAATAAAAAGACCTAAATTCTGGTAAAGCGGATTTGTTTCCCATCTGGAAGTCACAACTGAAAAAAGTTCCCATCTGACATCAAGCATGCTAAGCAACCCAAGTGCAGCTTGATATTCTTCTTTCTGGTTATTGCTCTTGGTCCTGGACAATCCCACAGCACTGGAAATGTCTAGGGTCATGTCTAACAAGAGTCTTGTGCCTTTATTGTTTCTGAAGGAGCTCAGAGTTGAGAATGGTTTGGAAAAAATAGTCCCATCTGGGAAGATGCAGTTCCGTGAGCTTTTAGAAGCGACAGGTGTGGACCGGGTGCTGTTAGCTGGGAGGCTGTCTGATGGTGAGCTTCAGGTTTTACAAGGCAGGTAAGACAGCTGTGACAAATTAGGTTGGCCATTCAGAGGATCTACATGGGAGGAATTCCACCTGTTCTTTGCCTGGCTGAGGAGCTCTATGTGAGGGCAGTTTGTTTTGTGACAGTCTGATGTCTGAATTCAGGCAAAAGACATGCTGGTTCTTTCAGTGTTTGACTGCTACTGCATAAGATACATACAGGGAACTCATTTTTTCTCACCAGACAGCATTTATTTTAAATGCTGAACTATTGTGTTATTTCTGCAGCTACCAATGAGTGTAGAGTGCTGGTCTCTCACTTCCGTGTTCGAGAGGAGGAATGCATTATATATTCCTGTAGTTGTGCTTCAAGGATTTTTCCCTCTGTGTTTTTAAGATGTAAGTGTTGGTACGCAGCTGACCTGGGACAAGAATTTTAAAGCTGCATTAGTGTTCAGTAGTCTTGGAGCAACATAACAGATTTCTGCATAAGGTACATCATTTCCATTTCAACTTCGTCTTCTCTCTGCAAGTTTTACCAGTGAGCGTGCTAACTTGTACCAGTTTGTCATGTGTTATTGTGATTTCTTAAGGGAGGGCTAGTGAGCTGGTGGGCTTTTCTTCCTTTCAGCTGGTTACCTTCATTTATATGTTAAAACCTATTTCTTAAACATTCTAGGTTTTTGCTTCACAACTTTCAGTATACTTCCTACTGTGGCGATCTAATAAGTCAGTAAGATTAACTTGTTTTTGTAGGAGTTACCTGTTAACTTTTAAATGATGCTG